GAAAGGGGAATTTGGGAAAGGGGAATTTGGGAAAGGGGAATTTGGGAAAGGGGAATTTGGGAAAGGGGAATTTGGGAAAGGGGAATTTGGGAAAGGGGAATTTGGGAAAGGGGAATTTGGGAAAGGGGAATTTGGGAAAGGGGAATTTGGGAAAGGGGAATTTGGGAAAGGGGAATTTGGGAAAGGGGAATTTGGGAAAGGGGAATTTGGGAAAGGGGAATTTGGGAAAGGGGAATTTGGGAAAGGGGAATTTGGGAAAGGGGAATTTGGGAAAGGGGAATTTGGGAAAGGGGAATTTGGGAAAGGGGAATTTGGGAAAGGGGAATTTGGGAAAGGGGAATTTGGGAAAGGGGAATTTGGGAAAGGGGAATTTGGGAAAGGGGAATTTGGGAAAGGGGAATTTGGGAAAGGGGAATTTGGGAAAGGGGAATTTGGGAAAGGGGAATTTGGGAAAGGGGAATTTGGGAAAGGGGAATTTGGGAAAGGGGAATTTGGGAAAGGGGAATTTGGGAAAGGGGAATTTGGGAAAGGGGAATTTGGGAAAGGGGAATTTGGGAAAGGGGAATTTGGGAAAGGGGAATTTGGGAAAGGGGAATTTGGGAAAGGGGAATTTGGGAAAGGGGAATTTGGGAAAGGGGAATTTGGGAAAGGGGAATTTGGGAAAGGGGAATTTGGGAAAGGGGAATTTGGGAAAGGGGAATTTGGGAAAGGGGAATTTGGGAAAGGGGAATTTGGGAAAGGGGAATTTGGGAAAGGGGAATTTGGGAAAGGGGAATTTGGGAAAGGGGAATTTGGGAAAGGGGAATTTGGGAAAGGGGAATTTGGGAAAGGGGAATTTGGGAAAGGGGAATTTGGGAAAGGGGAATTTGGGAAAGGGGAATTTGGGAAAGGGGAATTTGGGAAAGGGGAATTTGGGAAAGGGGAATTTGGGAAAGGGGAATTTGGGAAAGGGGAATTTGGGAAAGGGGAATTTGGGAAAGGGGAATTTGGGAAAGGGGAATTTGGGAAAGGGGAATTTGGGAAAGGGGAATTTGGGAAAGGGGAATTTGGGAAAGGGGAATTTGGGAAAGGGGAATTTGGGAAAGGGGAATTTGGGAAAGGGGAATTTGGGAAAGGGGAATTTGGGAAAGGGGAATTTGGGAAAGGGGAATTTGGGAAAGGGGAATTTGGGAAAGGGGAATTTGGGAAAGGGGAATTTGGGAAAGGGGAATTTGGGAAAGGGGAATTTGGGAAAGGGGAATTTGGGAAAGGGGAATTTGGGAAAGGGGAATTTGGGAAAGGGGAATTTGGGAAAGGGGAATTTGGGAAAGGGGAATTTGGGAAAGGGGAATTTGGGAAAGGGGAATTTGGGAAAGGGGAATTTGGGAAAGGGGAATTTGGGAAAGGGGAATTTGGGAAAGGGGAATTTGGGAAAGGGGAATTTGGGAAAGGGGAATTTGGGAAAGGGGAATTTGGGAAAGGGGAATTTGGGAAAGGGGAATTTGGGAAAGGGGAATTTGGGAAAGGGGAATTTGGGAAAGGGGAATTTGGGAAAGGGGAATTTGGGAAAGGGGAATTTGGGAAAGGGGAATTTGGGAAAGGGGAATTTGGGAAAGGGGAATTTGGGAAAGGGGAATTTGGGAAAGGGGAATTTGGGAAAGGGGAATTTGGGAAAGGGGAATTTGGGAAAGGGGAATTTGGGAAAGGGGAATTTGGGAAAGGGGAATTTGGGAAAGGGGAATTTGGGAAAGGGGAATTTGGGAAAGGGGAATTTGGGAAAGGGGAATTTGGGAAAGGGGAATTTGGGAAAGGGGAATTTGGGAAAGGGGAATTTGGGAAAGGGGAATTTGGGAAAGGGGAATTTGGGAAAGGGGAATTTGGGAAAGGGGAATTTGGGAAAGGGGAATTTGGGAAAGGGGAATTTGGGAAAGGGGAATTTGGGAAAGGGGAATTTGGGAAAGGGGAATTTGGGAAAGGGGAATTTGGGAAAGGGGAATTTGGGAAAGGGGAATTTGGGAAAGGGGAATTTGGGAAAGGGGAATTTGGGAAAGGGGAATTTGGGAAAGGGGAATTTGGGAAAGGGGAATTTGGGAAAGGGGAATTTGGGAAAGGGGAATTTGGGAAAGGGGAATTTGGGAAAGGGGAATTTGGGAAAGGGGAATTTGGGAAAGGGGAATTTGGGAAAGGGGAATTTGGGAAAGGGGAATTTGGGAAAGGGGAATTTGGGAAAGGGGAATTTGGGAAAGGGGAATTTGGGAAAGGGGAATTTGGGAAAGGGGAATTTGGGAAAGGGGAATTTGGGAAAGGGGAATTTGGGAAAGGGGAATTTGGGAAAGGGGAATTTGGGAAAGGGGAATTTGGGAAAGGGGAATTTGGGAAAGGGGAATTTGGGAAAGGGGAATTTGGGAAAGGGGAATTTGGGAAAGGGGAATTTGGGAAAGGGGAATTTGGGAAAGGGGAATTTGGGAAAGGGGAATTTGGGAAAGGGGAATTTGGGAAAGGGGAATTTGGGAAAGGGGAATTTGGGAAAGGGGAATTTGGGAAAGGGGAATTTGGGAAAGGGGAATTTGGGAAAGGGGAATTTGGGAAAGGGGAATTTGGGAAAGGGGAATTTGGGAAAGGGGAATTTGGGAAAGGGGAATTTGGGAAAGGGGAATTTGGGAAAGGGGAATTTGGGAAAGGGGAATTTGGGAAAGGGGAATTTGGGAAAGGGGAATTTGGGAAAGGGGAATTTGGGAAAGGGGAATTTGGGAAAGGGGAATTTGGGAAAGGGGAATTTGGGAAAGGGGAATTTGGGAAAGGGGAATTTGGGAAAGGGGAATTTGGGAAAGGGGAATTTGGGAAAGGGGAATTTGGGAAAGGGGAATTTGGGAAAGGGGAATTTGGGAAAGGGGAATTTGGGAAAGGGGAATTTGGGAAAGGGGAATTTGGGAAAGGGGAATTTGGGAAAGGGGAATTTGGGAAAGGGGAATTTGGGAAAGGGGAATTTGGGAAAGGGGAATTTGGGAAAGGGGAATTTGGGAAAGGGGAATTTGGGAAAGGGGAATTTGGGAAAGGGGAATTTGGGAAAGGGGAATTTGGGAAAGGGGAATTTGGGAAAGGGGAATTTGGGAAAGGGGAATTTGGGAAAGGGGAATTTGGGAAAGGGGAATTTGGGAAAGGGGAATTTGGGAAAGGGGAATTTGGGAAAGGGGAATTTGGGAAAGGGGAATTTGGGAAAGGGGAATTTGGGAAAGGGGAATTTGGGAAAGGGGAATTTGGGAAAGGGGAATTTGGGAAAGGGGAATTTGGGAAAGGGGAATTTGGGAAAGGGGAATTTGGGAAAGGGGAATTTGGGAAAGGGGAATTTGGGAAAGGGGAATTTGGGAAAGGGGAATTTGGGAAAGGGGAATTTGGGAAGAGGGATTTGGGAAGTGGGATTTGGGAAGGGGGATTTTGGAAGGGGGATTTTAGAAGAGGGATCCTGGGAATGGGAATTTGGGCATGGGGATCCTGGAAATGGGGATTTGGGAAGGGGGAATTTGGGAAGGGGGAATTTGGGAAGAAGGACCCCATGCTGGGGACACACATCTTGTCCCCTGTCACAGCCAAAGCCACCCCTGTCACCCCTGGCTCTGTGGAGGTGACACCAGGACCCCCGGAAGAGAACGTCCGGGAAACGGGAATTGCAGTTCCCGGCTCCCTGGAATCCTCTGCTCCCGCTTTGCACAGTTCCTCATGGATCTGTGGAGGTGGCACTGGGACCTCGGGAAGAGAAATCCCGGGAAGAGAAATCCCGGGAAAAGGGACCTCGGGAAGAAGAACACTGGGAAACGGGACCCCTCACCGAGGGGACAAAGCCATTCCCACAGTGTGACACGGCCAAGGCCACCCGTGACCCTCCTGGATCCATGGAGGTGACACTGGGACCTCAGGAAGAAAAATCTCGGGAAGAGAAATCCCGGGAAGAGGGACCTCAGGAAAAGGGACCTCGGGAATTGGGAACTCAAGGCCGCTTTTCTCCCGACCACGGCACAGCCGAATCCCACCCTAAATCCTCCTCCGCCACCAAAACAAATCCTGGAATGCCGATTTCCCCTCACCCAGCAGCAGGATCCCCCCAAATCCCACCCCTCGGAGCCAGGGACTGGCCAGGATGGGTTTGTTCCATAAAAAAGGCTGGGAAAAATTGGAATTTTTCCAATCGAGGGAAGCTCTGCTGCTGCCAGACCTGGCAGGGAAGGGGTGGATGGGGCAGAATTATTATTATTATTATTATTATTATTATTATTATTATTATTATTATTGCTGCTGCTGCTGCTATTGCTATTACTATTACTATTATTACTATTGTTACTATCATTACTATTATTACTATTATTCCATTATTCCATATTATTATTATTCCATTATTCCATTGTTATCCCACTATTAATAGTATTCAATTAATTACGATTAATTGATTATTATCTGATTATTAAATTAATTACGATTATCTAATGACAAATTTCCAAGCCAAAACCATCACCACCCCATCCATTCTCGCCGATCTCCCCAGCACATGGAAAACCAGGAAAATCCCTTCCCCTCATCCGAGGAAGGCGATGGAGAAGAGATCCAGGCCTGATTCCAGCGGCAATCCCGCCGGGATTGGGGCGCAGGAAAAGCGGGAGCAGCCCCCCAACCCCCACCTGGTGTCACCGCTGTCACCCCCCCAGCTCCTTCCTCTTCCCGCTTTTCTCGGGATCACGGAACGGCCTGGGTTGGAAACGACCTCAAAGCTCATCCAGAGCCGCCTTCCCCCATCCCAGGTCGCTCCGAGCCGCGTCCAACCTCACCTGGACCCTTTTCCGGACACTCGAGGTGCCACCACCGCCTGGGGGGTCCCCACAGACCCCTCAGCGTTGTCCCCAACCCTATCCCGACCATTCCAAAGGGCGGGAACGGCGCAAAACCCTGGGATGGGAACGTCGCGCTCATCCCGCGGCCGCGTCCGAGGGCTCGGGCGCGCGGCGGGTCCCCGGCGCCGCCGCGGGTCTCACCTGGGTCTCGGAGAGGTTGAGCTGCCGCGCTAGCTCCGTCCTTTCCCGGCCCACCACGTACTGGCAGCGCTGGAATTCCAGCTCCAGGCGGTAGAGCTGCTCCGCCGTGAAGGACGTCCGCGTCCGCTTGGGCCGGTCCAGGTCCAGCCCTTTGGGCAGCACGATCTCCCGGATCGTCCCTTTGGCATCTGGGCAGGAAACGGGGAGAAATTCAGGGAAAAAAAGCAAAGAAAACCTGAAAGAATCTGCCCAAAAATCCCCAAAAAATTCGGTTATTCTGGGGGGAGAATGGGAAATAAATGGGATTAAAGAGCGGCTCCGTGGAATTCCCACAAACTGGAGGTAAATTGTGGCTCGGTTCTTCCCTCCATCTCCGAACGCGGAGTTTGTAAATATCCAGGGAAAGGCAACAAATCTCCATGAATTTGAGTTTTTTAAAGACATAAATAGAAGCCATAAATTTTTCTTTTGGATAACGGAGCGTTTCACCCTGGAAATAATAATTTGGAAAAGGGGATTTATGCCAAGGAAGAATTCGAATTAAAGATTTTTTTTTTTTGTAATTTTTATATAATTTTTGATTTCTGTCCTTCCTTGGGAATACCGGGAAAAATTCACCTCTATTAAAATTCCCGTCTCTCCAGAATTTTATCCTCTGAAGGAATATTTCCTTGGGAAGCTCAGCTCCCGTTTTGGGGTGGTTTCCTATTAAAGGATAAATCTGGGAAGCGCCGTGGGCACCGAGCTTCTCCCGGCCGTGGATTTTATGGGGTTGGGAATATCCAGGGAAAGAAAAACTTGATGGATTGGCTCCATCCCAGGCCGTGGGAAGCGGCTCCGGAGGAGCTTCCGTGGCTTCGCTTCCCACCAGGAAAGGACAAACTCCACCAAAAAAATCAACAGGAATTCTGTCCCAGCTCCCAGGAATTAAAATGAGCCTTGGGAATCGCCCGCTGGGATCTTCCCAGATCCCAAATCCCGGCTCGTTTTGGGTGAGCTCTCCCTGCAGAGTTCCCAGGGGCTTTTCCAGAGGGTTAAAATCCAGCCAGGAAGTTCCTCAAGCCCCAAGCCAGGCCCTGATTTTGGGATGCTGGATCCCAATTCCGGAGAGATCCCGGTTGGAGGTCAATGGCTCTCCCTCCCTGCGGCTGAGTCCGGCATGACGGGATTATAAAATTCCCGGGATAGGAAGGGGGAAAACAGCCAGGAGGAGCCGGGAATGGGGTGATGGAGATGGCGTGGGGAGGGCGGAGATGGGAATGGGGGCGCTGGAATGGGAATGGGGGAGCTGGGATGGGAATGGTGGAGCTGGAATGGGAATGGTGGAGCTGGAATGGGAATGGCGGCGCTGGGATGGGAATGGTGGAGCTGGAATGGGAATGGGGGAGCTGGGATGGGAATGGGGGCGCTGGGATGGGAATGGTGGAGCTGGAAAGGGAATGGTGGAGCTGGAAAGGGAATGGTGGAGCTGGGATGGGAATGGTGGAGCTGGGATGGGAATGGTGGAGCTGGAAAGGGAATGGTGGAGCTGGAATGGGAATGGGGGAGCTGGAATGGGAATGGGGGCGCTGGGATGGGAATGGTGGAGCTGGGATGGGAATGGTGGAGCTGGGATGGGAATGGTGGCACCGGGATTGGAATGATGGCATCGGGACTGGAATGGCGGCGCTGCAGTGGAAATGGCGGCACAGGGAAAGGAATGGTGGCACTGGAATGGGAATGGCAGAGCTGGGATGGGAATGGTGGGGCTGGGATGGGAATGGTGGGGCTGGGATGGGAATGGCAGCACTGGGACGGGAATGGCGGAGCTGGGATGGTAATGGTGGAGCTGGGATGGGAATGGTGGAGCTGGGATGGGAATGGTGGCACCGGGATTGGAATGATGGCATTGGGACTGGAATGGCGGCGCTGCAGTGGAAATGGCGGCACAGGGAAAGGAATGGTGGCACTGGAATGGGAATGGCAGGGCTGGGATGGGAATGGTGGGGCTGGGACGGGAATGGCAGCACTGGGACGGGAATGGCGGAGCTGGTATTGGAATGGTGGTGTCGGGATGGGAATGGTGGTGTCGGGATTGGAAATGGTAGCACCAGAATGGGAATGGTGGTGCTGGGATGGGAATTGTGGTCTTGGGATGGGAATGGTGGCGCTGCAATGGAAATGGCGGCACTGGGAAAGGAATGGTGGCACTGGAATGGGAATGGTGGCACAGGGATGGGAATGGCAGAGCTGGGATGGGAATGGGGGCACTGGGATGGGAATGGTGGAGCTGGTATTGGAATGGCGGAGCTGCATTGGGAATGGTGGCACTGCATTGGGAATGACGGCGCTGCCCGTAGGATCGGCAGAACCGGGATGAGGATGGAGGAACTGGGATGAGGGCGGTGGATCCGGCACCGGGATGGTGGGAATGGGGACCAAACACCGATTTGGGAAAGGGACCCCAACCCCGGAGCCGCTTTCCCACCGTGGAGCCGCTGGACACGGCCGAGGCGCCATCCCGGAACGCGGCACCGAGGGAGTCCCGAGGGCTCGGGGACATCCAGGGTGGCACAGGGGTGGTGGCACCTGCCCCACACCCCAAACCCCACGGCTTGGCGAGGAGCTGCCGGGAAGGAAAGGGCTTGTAGGCGGATCAGCGGCTTTTCCGGTGGGATCAACGCCGGGAACCATTTTGTGTGAGAAGAGCCGTGGCGGTGACGATGCCCAGGCCACGTCCGCATTCCCGTGCCCGCATCCGTGCCCACGTCCGTGCCACGGCCCCGGCACAACAACAGCCGGGAACGCCGGGGCTGCCGGATCCGGGGCAGCAGCTGCGCCCTGGGCTCCGGCTCGGGCATTATTTATTGTTATTCTCCAGCAGCTGGAGCTGCTCCGGAGGGACGGCAGGGAAAAGGGCACGGCCGCGGTGCCAGCACGGCACAGGGGACATCAAACCCCACGTGCCGGCCCTGCTGACCTTCCCCAGTGTGGGTTTTGGGGTTCTCAGGCCATCCCCACGTTCCAGCCCAGAGCCTTTTCCCATTCTGGAGCCCCAACAATTCCCGGGTCCTGCTGGGGCTGCCCAAGGGGGTTCCGGAGCCTTGGGGCTCGCTGGTGGCACGTCCTGCTCTTGGGGACCGGGGTGCACCTGGTGCCTCTGGAGCCAGGACAGGGCTGGAGTTGAAATCCCCCGAAATTCCCAAATCCATGGGGACAGCTTTTCCGGGCATGGGGACACCCCCATGCCCAGCTGGGGTCCCATACCAACACAGCTGCCAGGACCTTTTGGGGTGCAGGACACCCCCCCGCCAGCCCCCAGGATGTCCCCTCCGTGCCATGGGGTGGCCGTGGTGGCACCTGAGCACCAAACGCCACCAAGGCCTCTCCACGTGCTCTGCGGCCACTGGGCCCAGCCCCGGGAGGTGACCGGGATGTGTCCCCAGCCCCGCGGTGACAGCGGGGACCGGCCCTGGGGCTGCCCAGGTCCCTCCTTGTCCCGTTTATCCCCGGGAACCGCTCCCCAAGAGACGGGAGGTGACGAGGAGGTGACCGCGAGGCTCCGTCCCGCACGGTCCCTCCCCGGTACCGTGGAACCGGAGAGCGGACCGAGACCCCCAGAGGACCCCGCCGATGTGAGGGGGGTCACCAGGACCCCCCCGGCTTCACCGAAAGCACCGGAGCTGCACCGGGGCTGCACCGGGGCTGCACCGGAGCTGCACCGGGGCTGGCTGCAGCTCCACGGCAGCCGCTCCTCACCGGGACTGGCGGAGCCCCTTTCCCAGGCCAAGGAGCGAGGGCGAAACTCGAAATATTAAAATAAAATTATTTTAAAACATAAAAATGAACATTTTAACCTCCCGCTTCGCACAAAAACCCACCGGGCGGCTCTGCCCGGGCCCAGCCGCTGCTCGGCCCCGGCCCTGCCCGGCTGCGGGTGGGGAGCGGCGGCTCTGTGTCCCCGCAGCCCGGGGTGGCCCGGCCAGCTTCCCCCCGCTTCATTTCGGTTCAATCCCGGTGATTTTGCGGCGTTTTCTCCCCGCCACCATTTTGTCCGCACCGTGGCGGCTGCAGCAAGATGGTGAAACCGGGCGCTCCCGGTGAGGGTCCCCGGGGCCGGCGGGAGCGGAGACCCTGCCCCGGCCTTGGCCACCGACCCCCGCCCTTCTCCCGGTGCCGGCACCGTCGGGGCGGCCTCGGTAGGGCTGAAACCGGCGGAGGAGAGGCCTGACCCCAACCTGACCCCTGCGGGACCGGCGGTAGCCCCGCTCGAAGACCCCCGGGACGCGGGGACACCGCGGGCGGGACCCCGGGGCTCGTTCCCGAGCGCTGCTGGCCGCTGTCCCCGCTTCGGACTGCGACAACCGCGCTGTCGGCGAAGGTCGCCTATCGCGACAGCCGGGAGAGAGGCTTCGGGGAGCGGCGGGGCGCTTTTCCCGGGATGCCCCAGCCCGGGATGGCGATGGAACCGGGAGCCGGCTCCGGTCCCCGCGGCGGTGAGGAGGGAGGTGACGGCCGCCGCTCCGGTCCCTGCCGCGCTGCCCGAGCGCAGCGCTGGGCACCGGGAGGCCTCGGCCCTGACCGCCGAGCGGCCGCCGAGCCTCTCCGGGCTCCGGGCTCCGGCAGCGGCGGAGGAGCGGCGGGGACGCGGAGCATCCCCGGGATCCCGGAGCCGCCCGGCGCTCGGGACCCTCCCGCCTGCCACAGCCGCGCCAACCCCAAAACTTTTCGGGGTTCGCCACAAGCCAGAAGTGGTCCCGGCGAGTCCCGGGCCGGCGGGGACTGAGCCCGGGCGGGATGTGGGATGTGGGATGCGGGACGCGGCGGCTCCGGGGAACGGCGAGCCCCAGCCGGGGCCAAGCCGGTGATATTATAAAGGGGAAAGAAAAAAAAAAAATAATAAACCCCCCCTCGCCCGCCGCCGCTCCGTGACGCTTTTCTCCTGCGACATCGCTTCCAACGCCGAGCTGATGCTGTCCCCCCTCTCCCGCCGCCCGCGCGTTCCCCGCGGGGCTCCGCCGGCCCGGCGGGTCCGTGGCCCCGGGGCCGTTCCCCTGGAGCCCTCCCGGCCGCCCGCTGGCCACGGCCCCGCTCCCAGCCCGCTGCCGGCGGAACAGGGCTGGGGCAGCGGGCCCGCTCCGTGGCGCACGCAGCGGAGCCGGGGCAGAAGCGGCGGGGCCGGGAGGCCGGAGGTCGCAGCCCGGGAAGCGCCCAGGAAGCGCTGGAAGCGGTGGCGGGGATGCCCCGAGCCCGGAGCGGGAAGCCCCGGCCTGGGAAGCGGGGAGCGGGGAGCGTGCCCGTACCTCGCACCAGGATGCGGCGGCAGTAATCCGCCTCGCCGGTCCCCGACGGGCTCTCGGTGTCCGGGGCGCACTGTTTGGAGGAGCCGGGGCTGACCGCCGACGTTCCCGGGATGTCCTTGAAGCCACCGGCGGCTCCGCCGCTGCCGCCGCCGCCGGCGCGCAGGGCGCTCTCCAGCTCCGCCCGGGTCGGCAGTTTCTCCCGGGCCCGCCCGGTGGCCGCGGGCTCGGCCAGCAGCACGGGGCTCCCGCCGGGCTCGGCCCCTCCATCGCTCATCCCTGCGGGCGCCGCGGCGGGATCAAACATCAGGAGGCAGAGAGAGACACGGGGAGAGGGAGAGAGGAGGCAAGGCTGGGCGGGGGGGGATGGGAGGGAGCCCCCCCCCACCCTCCCCAGACCCCTTCCCCTCCCCGCCCCTCCCCAGCCCCCCCCGGGGCTCGGCGCCCCAGCTCACCCCCATAGCCGGGGACCGCCGGGGGCCGCCGCCTGCCGCCCTCTCCCAGCCGGGGCCCGTCATTTAAAGCGCGCCCCCCACCCCGCCCCGCCGGCCGGGGGTGGTACCGGGGCTGGGGGGGACCCGTCGGGGCGTCCCTAGAGGGTGCGAGGCTGGGGGGGAAAAGGAGTTTCAAACTTTGACAGGCGCCCGAACCCCCCTCCCCATCCCCCGCGCCCCCTCCCCAGCTCCACCTCCCGCTGCACCTCGCTCCGGGCAAACTTCAGGCGCTCCGGCCGCAGCCGCTGCCCTTCCATGGAGCGCCGGTGCCGGTGCCGGTACCGGCGGGAAGCGTCGGGAGCCGCTGGCGGTGCCCGGGCTCTCCGCGCTGCGCTCGGGATTCGCGGGCGGGGGAAATCAATACCGGCAGACTGGGGGGGATGATTTTAGGGGGGTGAGGAGAGAAGGGGGGGCGGGAGGGGAAAGGGAGGTCGAGGGGAGGGAGCTGCGGAGGAAGCGGCCGGGGGTGGGACCGACGAAGAAGAAGCCGGGTCCTTATTCCTCCGGCCCTCCCCCGCCGCCGCCGCCGCGCTCCGCCGCGCATCCCCCGGTGGGGACCGGAGCCGGCAGCGGGGAGCCCCCGCCGCGCCCGGGAGCGGCTGGGAGTGAGCGGGGAGGGAGGAAAGAGCCCATTTTAAATTAACGGCCCGGTACAGACGCAATTTCCTGCCCTCCCGTTCTGTGACACCGATTGGTAAACAAAGAGCCCGAGAGCGGCGGCGGCCGCGGCTCCGCTTCCCGATTCCTTCCCGGGGGGTTCACCCTTGGGGACCCCCGCCCAGCCGGGGCAGGGCCGCCAGAAGCGACAACGAATAAAGAAATCCCCCGGTCCCGGTGGGCGCTGCCGCTCCCCGGGCCCGGCGGGGGTCGAGGGGGCTCCGATCCCGCTCCCCCGCTGCTCTCGGGGTTCCCCCTTTGCCTCCCCGGGATGAAGCAGCGGGGGAGCCCCGAAATTCCCTGATCCGGCACAGCCGCTCCCGGCAGCAGCACCGAGCGGGGTTTCCAGCCGGGAATGCCGGACCCGGTGCGTGCCGGGGTGTCCCGGGCATCTCGGGGGGCTCCGTTCCGCCGCTGTCCCCGCAATGGGGCAAAACCGGGCGGAAAAAGCGGCGGAGGCTTCACCGGGGGCGGCCGCCTCCCTCCCCGGTAGTGCCTGGGATCGGAACGGTCGGATTCAAAATAAATAAATTAACTTTAAACCCAAGCAGCCCCGAGATTCCGCAGCTCCGCCGCACCCACGGCCCGGTACCGAGCATCGCACCGGGCCGGGGGGACCAGCAGGGGTCTGGGAACGGCTCCGGTACCGGGCGGAGGCGGGAGGTGCCCGGTTCGAGCTGAATTCTAGGCCTTGGGCTGAAGTGGCCGCTGAATGTCCGAGCCTGGAGCGGCCTGGGCCCATCCCTGAAATCACCGGAACAGCGCGGGGGGAAACGCAGCAGGAGGAAAAAAAAAAATTAAATTAAATTAAAAAGAAAAAAAAATAATAATTAAAAAGCGAAATTAAACTGCGGGAATAAAGAAAAGTAAAAGGAAAGAAATCAAAAGGAGGGAAAAGAGGAAGGGAATTAAGCGGACGGAAAAGGCCGAGCGGGGAGAGCGCAGAGGACGGGCCTTGCTCAAGGCTGGTGCTCCTGGGCCGCACCCCCGGTTCTGCGGGGCCCGGAGCGGGGATGGAGCCGCCGGTCCGGGGAAGGCGCGGCTGGAAACGGTTCCCCGCTCCCCGTTCCCTTTTCCCCGTTCCCCACTCCCGGTTCTCCTCTCCCGGGGCTGCGGCAGGGCCGGGGCTGGACAGCCGGACAACCGGACAGGCGGACAGCCGGACAACCGGACAGCCGGACAACCGGACAACCGGACAGGCGGAGAACCGGACAGGCAGAAAGCCGGACAGCCGGACAGCCGGACAACCGGACAGCCGGACAGCCGAGCTCCGCTCTGCCCCGCCACCGGGCCCGGTGCTGGATGTGACACCAAAGATTTTTAACGAAAACCAGGAAAATTACCCCGAAATCCACCCCGCCCTGCGGCCTCAGCCCCCCAGCACCGCGGGGAAAGGCTGCGGGCCGGTCCCGCCGGGAAGACGGAGGGCAGCGATCGCCCGGGAGCCGCTGGATCGAAAATTCCTCCTTTCGCCGAGCCCCGGCCCCGAGCGGCGGCTGAGGCTGAGGAGAAGCGGCCCCGGTTCCCGTTAAGCCGCCGGTGCCCGCTCAGCCCCCGCCGCCTCCTCACGGATCCCGCTCCTTTCCTGCTCTTTTATTTATTTTATTTTATTTATTTTTTTTCTCCCGTTATCCCCACGATTAGAGCGAATAATAACGGGGAAAGGATTGCTCCGGGAAAAGGGGAAGCTGGGAAAAGGGGGAAATGCCTGGAGGAGAAGGGACCCGCGTCCTCAAAATCAACAAAATTATAAAAAATATAACACTAATAAAAATTCCCGACTTCATTGCGTCGTCGCTGTTGTTTTTGTGTTGGGTTTAGCGCTGTTGTTGTTGTTTTAATTAGCGTTAATATTAGCGGTATTAATTCCACCATTAGCCTCGCTATTATTAGTGGCGTTGCTATTGCTATTATTAGTCCTATTAGCGCTATCAGCACAATTTGTCGGTGTTTTTAATTATCGATATCCCCGTTTTTCCTCGCTCCCGAGCACACCCAGCCCAAGCCAAGCCCTGCCCGGGGTGGGAGCGGCCGCGCTCTCCCGGAGCATCCCCGTTCCCGGCGCTCCCACCCCGCTCCCGGCCCCGCCGAGCCCCCGGGGCCCTCCCAAGCCGCCGCCCCGCTCCGGGACCGGAAAAATCCCGCACGGAATTCCTCGGTTTTCCCGGTTTACAGCCGGATCCGCCGCTCCTCGTTTCTCCCGGTGGCCCGGAGATAGAGGTAAGGCCGGGCTCGGGGAGCCGGGCTCGGCCCCGGGCCTGGCTGCGGGGTCCGCCGGTAGCGGAGCCGGGGCTGCTCCCGGTACCGAACCGCTCCCGGTGGGGCTCGGGGGGCACCGGGGGGGGGGG